TCTCCTGACCTCCAAACATCTGGAAACATCTGTTCTCCAGAGATCTAACTCCCCCTCCCTCCCCCTCCCCCCCGTGATATTCCTCTTTCTCCCCCTTTCGGTCACTACACCTCCTTGGACGTGCGGACTCGGACGCCGCTGAGGCACTTGCCCATGGCCTCGAACAGTGGGTCGCAGAAGGTGTGCACAGTGATGGAGTAGATACGGCTGACCCAGTGGATGGTGATCAGGAAGCTCTTCACGAACGGAGCCACGGCCCAGATGTGGATGAAGGACAGGATGGCAAAGAAAACCCCCCAGATCAGAGCCAGGGGGATCCCGACCAGCGCCGTCAGCAGTCGGTAGCACCAGTACTTGGTGACGGTGAAGGTGGTGAAGCTGGCTTTCCAAACACCGTCGAAGCTGTAGGTCCAGGCCGGCTCAGCAATCACATCTTCAAAGTCCACCTGAGGAGGAGAAGGAGAATGAAATCAACGTCAAACTTCACACGAAAATAAAACCAAAAAAGATCTGCTTTGAAGATCCAAACGTTAATCACGAGAATCGTCATCTCATGATTCAGTCAGCGATTTGGAATTTGGTAGAAATTGTATTAAAACAACCGTGGTGATTCCAACAGGTCACAGCTGACGTCAGCCAATCAGAGTCAATGATCTGTTGCTTTCAAAACAAAAACTGATTTGTTGGTTCTGGAAATCATGTGGAAATGAAATGTGTTTGATGTAGAGTGCCACCATGTGACCAGTCGGAGAAAACACCGAAACAGCCTCAAAGAATTAGGAGCTGACGGATCAGATGCCTTCCTTCTGACAACAACAACGACACGACTGTGATGGGGAATAACTGAGCCTGGATTCAGCAGACCGCAGTACCACCAACCCACCACCGCTGAATTAGTTATCCAACAACAGCAGTGACATTTCCTCGGGGTTTTCTGGTTTAATAAAAATGACCGTGACACTAATTTTGGTTTGTGGTCGAACTCTTCCTGTGAATGTTGGTGGGAAACCCCCCGGACCACCATCATTACCTCCTCAAATACCTTCATCCACCACCAGGGGTATTTGACAACAGCATCATAACGACTTTAAAGTCTGAACTCTTCATCTCCTCATCAATCACCAGTGAAGAGTCGGTCTGTGGAGATGAGGTGACGACGGTCGACCGAACGGTGACACGCCCAAAAACACTGAGCAGGCTGTAAACATCTTCATGTTGCACAGCGTATGGAATGATATTTTGAGTGTATAAAATAAATATAATTATTATTATACATGATATAAATAAATATTCCAATTTAGACAGAATGTGTCAAATACTATCAAATGCCTCAAATGACTATAAGTCGCACCAGCCAACTAGAGCGCCCTCTAGAGGCTGTCAGTGTGACAATAACAAATATATTTTAATATATAAGTCGCACCTGAGTTTAAGTCGCACACCCAGCCCAAGAGGAAAATACGATACATCGTAACAGAAATGTACCAAACCATAAACATCAGATCCAGACTGATCAGTTCCTGTTTGCAGTAAAGTTTGTCAGTGATTTTCAGTGAGTATCCTGTAAACAGACTAATCTTCCTGTGGTTGAACGAGAACCAACGCTGGTGGAACAAAGTCGGAGTTTTTAGCTTTTTTTAGGTTAAAATGTTGCAATTACTGGAGCAGATGGAGTCCATTAAATCACTGCTGGACCAAACAGTAACGGCTCAGTGGTTAAAGGACGTCACATGACACATGTTATTACTGGTACCACTGAATAACTACCAGGTTCAGTCCAGTAACCTT